TTCATAGCAGCAGACTCCTGTGGCTCTTCTTTGGTTCTGGAAGCTCCAAAGCAGCCAATATTGCTTGTCATATACATTCTTTAGGCCATTCATTTTGAGTGCAGAACACTCCATATACTTGACAGCCTTCAGGTCATGGTCCAGCTTTTCACACTCTGGAGTGATAGACTTCTGTTTGTTCTTGGCAAGTTTCTCAATAGTAGAGGGGTCAACTCTGAAATCAATTTGGGCCCCAACAAGCAAGAAAGGAGTCTTTGGACAGTGGTGAGTTATCTCAGGCATTCACTTTTCTTTCACATTTTCAAATGAAGATGGAGAGACCACTGAAAAACAGACTAGAAATACATCTGTTTGTGGATAACTCAGCGGTCGTAATCTGTCATAATCTTCTTGCCCTGCATTATCTAAAAGTCCAAGAGTATATGGTTCTCCATCAGTTATAACTGTGACTACATAATGGTCAAAAACAGTCAGTACATATTCTGATGGAAATTGTCGTGTAGGATATCAGGAAACGTTTTACCAACAGCACCATCGCCCACAACAGCACTTAATTGTCTGCATTGCTGAAATAGTTTTGTATCCTCTTTAAATATTTCAGATCTGATGTTGACCTCAGCTTCTCCACCGGGGCATTGGCAGCACTCCATTTGAGTTTTTTTTAAGCATCTAAAATGCAATGACAACCCATTGTCTTCAGCTTCCAGAGTTTCTACTAAAAAAGTCTATTGTGAGTCCATTGTTTTCTTTTTCTCTGTCTGCTTGTCAGATTTTCTCTTTGCTGTTAGCTTTCATTGGTTTTACTGCAATGTGCCTGGGTGTGCAGGGGTTTTCTTTGCTTTTGACTCATACTTAGGGTTTGTAGAGCTTTGTGAGACTATGCTGTGATGGCTTTCATCAGTGTGGGAAAATTCTCAGCCAGGTTTCTTCAAATATTGCTGTACCTCATTTTCTCTCTCTCTGATTCTAGGTATCCAATTATAGATAGCTTAGAACTTTTCACCATGTTCCAGAGGGCTCTTACAGTTTTCTGTATCTCACATTCTTATTTATCCATCTCTGCATCAACCTGGGTACTTTCTACTTACCCGTCTTTCTGTTATTATCCTGTTTTTAATCTATTAAAACCATATTTTGAATTATTTATTTTAATCAGATGTTTTATTTCTGGAATCTTAGTCCTCTTTTTATATGGATTCTATTTATATGCTAAACTTCTTTATTCTTTTCTCTTTTGAATATATTATTTATTTTAAATAATATTTATTTTAAAATTCTTGGGTGTTAACTGCATTAGATGAATTACTTCTGGACCTGTTGCTATCTGGTCAATTGATTCTTTTTTCCCCTGTGTGACTTCTATATTTCATTTGATGATAAAAATTATAGTTGAAAAAATTATAGCTATTCCTGACTTATCTTCCTCTAAAGAGAATTAAGTCATATTTAGCTGACAGCTAGAATGCCAGTAGATCATGCTGATCAACTACAGATGGTCCCCAACTAATGATGGTTTGACTCACAATTTTTTGACTTTACGATGGTTTATTGAGTATTAAATATTTTTTACTTATTTTCAACCTACAGTGGGTTTATTGGAATGTAACCGCATCTTAAGTCAAGGGACATCTGTGCCTTCATATGGTTGTGTTCCTGATAAGCAGCATCCACGGCCTGGGAACCAAGGAGTGGGAGTGGGAGAGTCCTTGCCCACCATCACTCCCAGCCACGCAGCTGAGGGTTATGTGCTTCCATTTCCCAAGAACCTCTGCCCTGTAGGTTTAGATGGTGAAACAATTCCCTCAGGAAACAGATCAAGAGTTCTTTGAGCTGTAAACTACAGCTGCTGCCAAGGAACCAGCCAGCAAGCAGAGGAGTCAGCATCCTGACAGAGGTGTTTGATCCTGATTATTAGAAGGAAGTAGATGAACACACAGTGGAGGAAGGGAGAAATATGTTTAGCACCCACGTAATGCACTAAAACTGGAAAGCTCTTTGTACTACCTTGCCCCATTTTGATAGTAAATAGATAAGTGCAGCAGTCATAGCCTGAGAAGCACATGGTGACCAGGGGCTCAGGGATGAATGTCTGGGTCATGCCACCGGGAAGACACCAAGACCAGCAGAGGTGCCAGCTGAGGTTGAGGGGCATCTGGAATGGATAGGAGAGGAGAGCAGCGATCACTGTCAACTGCAGGGTTAAGACCAGCTGCAGGGGGGAGGGGAGGCTGTAGTGCATCACTCAGCCTCTAATAGGTTTCTTCCTGGAAAAAGAGACCCACCAAATCCTTGAGTTGCTTCTCCCAAAATGTGAAAGAAGAATCCAAGTGGTGGAAGGTGTGGCCTGCAGTGGCTGTCAGGTTGTGCCACCCAGGACCCCCTTTCAGAACTGAGGAATTTGTCCTCCAGCTGCTGGGAGTATGGCTGGCAGACAGCCCTCCGCTGAAGAGCATCCCATTGCCCTGGAACATACCTCCTTCCTGGGACAGCCACAGTTAATGACTGATTGACATGGGGCAAAGTTCTGGCCCTTCCACTCAAAGTTGGGGTAATTTTGAAGGGCTGTCTCAGCTCTGCTGCTCTTCCTGGGATCAACTGGTGCCCTTACTGAGACTGCGTCGCAACCTAACTTCTCCCTCTACCCAATCCTACTCCTCTCCTCTCCCCTCCCCTCCCCTTCCCTCTTCTCTCCTCTTCTGCAGGTTGTGATATGAAAGCATCCATAGAAATCTCCATCTCACAGCTTTCTGGGGAACCCAACCTGAGTGTCCTTCCCCACCTCTCATACCTCAAATATCTAGACTTTATGGAACCAAGCAGCTAAAACTGCTTCTAACTTTTCACTATTATAAACACAATTTTGATAACCCTGCAGGAAAGTCTTTGCAAATATCCTTAATTGTTTCCATGGCATCATTAAAAACTGGAATTTCTTGGGCAAAGTAACACATATTGATAAGGCTTTTGAATTCACATGCCCAAAGCCTCCCCAAAGCTTTGCACACTCACCAGCTGCAACTGGGCTGGGACCAGTACTATTTTGCAATATATTCATTTCTATACAGATAGACCAGGTAAAAAATAACAAGGTGTCCTGAAGACACCTTGGTGTCCTTGTAATGCCTGCACTGGTCACTTACACCCGGCTCCTCCCAGTAAGCCTTTGCATGGTTCTGCCCAAGACCCTCTTGGTTACTGAGACTTCCCCACTACCTACTCCCACCTAAACCCCATAGGTAGGTTTGTGTGACTTTCTCAGAGCCACAGCCCTACACATAGCTCTTCCATCCCACTCTATACACCCTTCCATTACACCCTGGAAACCCTCCCATTGCACCCTACACACCCTTTCATTCTACCCTCACACCCTTCCATTCATCCATCACACAGTTCCATTTCACCCTTCATACCCTTCCATTCCATTCTTCACCCCATTCCATTACAACCTTCACATTCTTCCACTCCACCTTACACACCCTTTGACACTCTTCCAGTCCACTACACGTCCTTCCATTTCTCTCTTCACGTCCTTCCATTCCATCCTTCACATCTTCCATTCCACCTTAAGCATCCTCCCAGTTCACCCTTCATGCCCTTCAGTTGCACTCTTCACACCCTTCCATGACATCCTTCAAACTCTTCATTCCACCCTAAACTTCCTCCCATTCCACTTTTCACACTCTGGTCCTTCCATGTCCTTCCATTCCACCCTTCACAACCGTCCATTTCATCTTCACATTCTTTCACTACACCTAAAATGTCCTTTCATGCCCCCTCCACGCCTTTCAATTTCACCCTTCATATACTTCCATCCGGCTGGGCGCAGTGGCTCACACATGTAATCCCAGCACTTTGGGAGGCCGAAGCAGGCAGATCATGTGAGGTCAGGAAGTTTGAGATCAGCCTGGCCAACGTGGCGAAACCCTGAAGAGATTCTACAAATACAAGAAATTAGCCAGGCATGATGGCGTGCACCTGTAATCTCAGCTACTCAGAGGCTGAGGCAGGAGGATCCCTTGAACCCAGGAGGAGGAGGTTGCAGTAAGTCGAGATTGGGAAATAGAACAAGATTCCATCTCCAAAAAATAAATAAATAAATAAACTTCTATCCATCCTTCATACCATTTCATTCCACCTTACACACTTTCCATTTCATCTTTCAAATCCTTCCATTCCACTTTCCACACCTTTCAATTTCACCCTTCATATACTTCCATTCATCCCTCATACCACTCCATTTCTTCACATTCCTCCAATCCAATGGTCACATCCTTCCATTTTAGCCTCCTGGCTTGGTCTCCCAAAGTGCTAGGATTGCAGGCTTTTGCCACAGCACTTGGTCAGCAGTCCACTCTTTATGGCTGAATAGTAATCAGTTGCATAGATAAACTACATTTAGTTGATCCACTCACCATTAGACGGACATTTGGATTGTTCTCAGTTTTCAGCTGTTACCAACAATCCTGCTATGGACATTCATGCACTAGTCTCTATGTGGATACACGTTTTCATTTCTCTTGGGTAGAAACTTAGGAGTGGGATTGCTGGGTTGGATGGTAAGTGTATACTTAACTTTTTATGAAAGTGCCAAGCTGTTTTCAAAAGTAGGTGTACCATTTTACATTCTCAACATCACAGATGAGGGTTCCATCTTCTCCTCATCCTAGCCAACTGGAAGCCCCCTCTTTTTTTGAGATAGAATCTCACTCTTGTTGCCCAGGCTGGACTGCAGTGGCGCGATCTCAGCTCACTGCAACCTCCACCTCCCAGGTTCAAGAGATTCTCCTGCCTCAGCCTACTGAGTAGCTGGGACTACAGGCAGGTGCTACCACACCCAGCTAATTTGTTGTATTTTTAGTAGGGATGGGGTTTCACCATGTTATCCAGGATGGTCTCGATCTCCTGACCTCATGGCCCGCCTCAGCCTCTCAAAGTGCTGGGATTACAGGTGTGAACCACTGCACCCACTGGAAGCCCTTTTAGCTGAGGTGGTTAAGCTGTGAGGACGTGAGTTTGCTGCTGCCATTATTCACTGCATCATTCATTCAGCAAAAACCTGAGTACCTACCACTACCTAGTAGGCGCTGGCCGTTCAAGAACTCCCTGGCAACACTTTAAGACAGAGGAAGCACCCTGGTTACAGTGTTTCAGCACCCTGGTCTTGGTTCACCCTGGACCTTTTACTTGCAGGAGGCAGGGAGTTCTCATGATGGCAGTTTGAGTTGGATTTGCTGCAACAAACAGAGCTGACCAGTGGATGCCTCCAATCTACTGAGACTCAAAGAAATCCAAGTAATTATTCTCCCTCTATTCCAGGAGGGAACAGCAGCCAGCCTTGGAACCTCAGGTGCAACAGAGATGCCAGGACATGTGAGTACCCAGCAGCTTGTGGCAGTACCGATGAAACAAGAGAGGGCTTGGTGGATGACAAGGAGGCCTGAGTAGACCCCAGGTGGATCCGAGAAATGGACTTAGGTGAGGCAGGTCTTTGAAGGATTTGTTCTTAGTCATGTGAGATGCTCAAAAGCCTGGAGTCCTGCCTTTGCGGGTAAAGAGCAAGAAGAGAAACAGGTTGTACAGATACAGATGGAGATGGAGAGACGGAGAAAAAGGGAAGAAGGCAGAGAAATGCACCAATTCTTTAGCTGTATTATCTCTGGACCTTGGGATTGTGGGAGGCTTTATTTTACTACTGATTTGGCCTACACTGTTTTCTCAATTTCTAGTTTTCTACAAAGATAGTGTGTTAGCTTTTTCACGTATTCAAATTAAAATTTAAAACAGACCCCACAATAAATATTACTTTTAAAAGGAGAAAAGGGACGCTCCCCACGCAGCTCAGAGCCTGGCTGGCTGCATTTCGGCTTCTTAGATGTCAAGCCTGCTCGTGTCCCAGGGTCCCAGCCAGTGGCTTGCGCATCCTGCCCCTTGGGCCACCAGCCTCGTTGCGGTGGAGATAAACCTTGCTGCGCTAGACTACCGAGCCGCCGGCCAGCGGGAGAGCTGGAACCTAGCGAGTCAGCCTCTGCAACAGGCTGGGGGCGGAAGGAGGAGCCAGGGTAAGCTGCGCCTCCGCTGAGAGGCCGGGCAGACCCTGCAGAGGCCCCCTGCCCCTCTGGCTCCGCCCTCACCCAGGGCGGTAGAAATACAGCCGCAGCCGAGACCACCGCCCTCTGCGCTCCGACCCAGTCCCAGCTGACCCACCTGCCCGCGCTCCTGCCCATGGCTGACGGACTCTTTCAGCGCAGACCCTGGGGTCCCGAGCAGATTCGCCCGGACCCGGAGTCCGAAGGCCTGTTTGACAAGCCTTCCTCGGAGGACCCTCCCGCTGCCCGCGCGCCCAGGTCCGCGTCGGCCGCGGGCAAGAAGGCTGGTCGGCGCGCGGGCTGGAGGGCGCAGGGGCGCCGCGCCGGGCAGCCCCCGAAGGCCGCAGCGCGCCCCCCGCCCAAGGAGGAGGCGCCTCCACTGGACGAGAGCTGCTATCTCGACCATTTTCCGCACCTCTCCATCTTCATCTACGCGGCCATCGCCTTCTCCATCACCTCCTGCATCTTTACTTATATCCATTTACAGCTTGCTTAAGTGGCCAGCGCGGGATGTGGTGGTTGCAGGACCAGGTGGGGAGGGAAAGGGAAAACAGGGCTCAGCATTTTGTGTTTTGGAACAGCGCCGCACCCCCTTCATGTAGCTTTCCATGCTTGTTTCTTTCCTTCTTTGTTGTCACTATCTTTGTCAGTAGGAAGGTACAAAGTAGCTGCCGGCAATGAAATAAGGGTGCTATTTGCACCTGCAGGTGAGGGGTAATGGCGTTTAGAATTCTGAAGTGTGACTGAACCTCAATTATAATTAGGAGGATGTCCCTGAACCCCCACTACTCTGTAACATGGGGGCACGCGCAGGAATCTCATCATTTTGTGTTTGGGAAGCTCAGAGTGCACCCAACCTTGGATTCTTTAAGGGATGAGCCAGACCCAGACCCGCAGCCTTCTAGTGAGGGCCCTGCTGGGAGGGTCGGCGCCCTGGCCCGGGCTGGGCCGGAGCCCTGTGATGCTGCATCGCCCCCAGGAGGAGCCAGCTGTGTCCCGGAGTTGGCGCAGCCGAGAGAGGACGAGAGCGTGCCCCAGGCGTAGCTGGAGCGCGGGACTCGGTAAGTGGCGTTTGTCCGAGTATCGTGCTGCGCCCGCAGGGGCTCTGGCTGACCCCCACTGTGCGTTTTTCCTGCCTTAGACTTTGTTGTGGCTGCCTGGAGGAGCCGAGACTCATAGCCGGAGGAGCTGTCTTACCAGGAGACTACGCTCTGGAAGTGTCCAGGACTCGTGGGACCTGTGGCTGCAGACCCCACCGGGACGCTGGCGCAATCCTCAGGATGAGACTCTGGGGGCCTTAGGGGTCCACGAGAGGGCTGTCCTTGGGGACTCTGGCCCAGAGCCCTTCTCTAGCTGTGGGACGACCCAAGACAAAAGGGCCTGAGGGATTTGTCACTGTCAAGAGTGCGTGTGGGAAAACCACCTGACCCCTAGGGGTTTGTCATCTTATACTCAAAAGGCTTAATACCAGAAACCACCTTGGCAAGCTGCTTACCCACCGGCCATCTGTTTACTCATGAATGTTAAATGTCAAAACGCAGCGCTCTAACCCTGCATATCCTTTACTTGCAAATGTCTGTAATTGTGAGCCCTCTGATGGAATAAATTATCTCTTTTTCAGCCTCCTCTATATTCAGTTCTCCATTAATTGCCAACTCTGCAGTGGGTCCTGCCAAGCTTCCTGTGGCCTGCTGCACAGCATCCCTACTGTCCCTCCAAAACAGACCTAATCCCCTGACTCAGCATTCCAAAATACAACCTCTCCCTCCACTAAATAGCTACAGCGGCATCTTTCTCCATATCAGGTCCTCACAACATGCCAGTGTCCGAGTCTACCATCCCTTATGGCGGATCAGCCACTATCCCGCTGTGGCATTACCTACTGCCCCTCAGTATTTAGTCTCCACTTGCCTCCATTATTAAGACTGAGTACAGCCCCCCCAGCTAAGCCCTGGAATTTGCCCCCTGGGTCTTTACAAGCTCCGTATTTCCAATATCAGGGCCTTGCCGTTTCTTAGTTCTGACTTCCCATAATCCCAGTTAACTATGTGCCTTGATATCTTGCCCTGAGACACTTGAGTGCCACAAGTATGACAGCCACTGTTCCCCAGTATCAGCCTGTGCTTTACAATCACACTTTCCTACAATTCCCCCACAGCAGTCGGTGGCACTATTTCCCAAAATGACATCTGCAAAGTACCACAACATTTCTTGCTCATTATTTTCCAGCTTTCAATCTTGGATATTCTATCTTCTACTATCTCTCAGTGCTGACTGCTCACTGACTCCCAATATATAGCCTAGTGCTCTCCAAACATTTGATCTCACTGTTTTCCTTTCACACAGCCCCTATTATCTCTCATACAGCCCTTCGATGACTACTCAGGATATGATCCTCCAGCTTCTTTTCCTCAGCCAATCTCCTGATAGTAGAGTAGATAGTAGACTCCTCCCTGCTTCCCCAAACCAAAGTTCTCTGTTCCTCAACATTTGATCATTGTTCCACAATATCATGACCCTTTTGTGCCACCAAATCTGGGCCTCCATTTTCTTTTATTTTTATTTTTATTTTGAGACGAGTCTCTGTGGCCCAGGCTGGAGTGTAGTGGCACCATCTTGGCCCATGGCAACCTCTGCCTCCCACGTTCAAGTGATTCTTGTACCTCAGCCTCCCAACTCACTGGGACTACAGGTGCCTGGCGCCAGGCCCAGTTTTTTTTTTTTTTTTTTAAGACTGAGACTCACTCTATGGCCCAGGCTGGAGTGCAGTGACCTGATCTTGGCTCACTGCAACCTCTTCCTCCTGGGTTCAAACAGTTGTCCTGCCTCAGTCTCCCAAGTAGCTGGGATTACAGGCATGTGCCACCATTCCCAGCTAATTTTTTTGTATTTTTAGTAGAGATGAGGTTTCACCATGTTGGCCAGGCTAGTCTTGAACTTCTGACCTCAAGTGAGCCACCTGCCTCAGCCTCCTAAAGTGCTGAGATTACAGGCATGAGCCACTGCTCCTGGTCTGGGCCTCCATTTTCTACCCCAAATTCCAACATCTGGTTACCATGACTATACTTTTATTAGATCGTTATTTTCTCTACAGTCTTAATATTGACTTCAATATTCTCCTAAATATCCAGCCCCATTTGATTGCCTTATTTCAGTATTCATTACGTTGTTCCCCAAATACTTGATTACTGTCTCAATATTGTACTCCACTCTTCCTGACATTCACCCCATCACAGCTGTCTCCAATATTAAACTCATTCCAGCCCCCAAATTCATTTTCTTCCCATACCCCCATATTCTCTCCTATCAGCCCATCACTCTTCCCCATACTTTTCCCCATTTCACTCTCCTTCAAATTCCTGGTTCCATAGAGTGCCAGTGTTTGGCCTGTATTTTCTTTCCTTTTCTTTTTTTTTTTTTTTTTTTTTTTTTTTTTTTTTTTTTTTTTTTTTTTTTTTTTGAGACAGAGTTTCACTCTGTCACCCAAGCTGGAGAGTAGTGGTGTGATCTCGGCTCACTGCAACCTCAGCCTCCTGGGTTCAAACAATTCTCCTGCCTCAGCCTCCCAAGTAACTGGGACTACAAGTGCATGCCCCCATACCCAGCTAATTTTTTTGTATTTTAGTAGAGACGGGATTTCACCGTGTTGCCCAGGCTGGTCTTGAACTCCTAAGCACAGGCAATCCGCCCACCTCAGCCTCCCAAAGTGGTAGGATTATAGGTGTAAGCCATCACACCTGGCCTGGCCTGTATTTTCCAATCAATATTAAATTTCCATTACTCTCACATTATCCACACAATGATATACCACTTAATACTAAGTATTAATACTAAGTATTAAGTGTACACTTAATTTGTACACTGTAATGTGTACGCATAAGTGTGTACCTTTAGTATCATCATGCATCTAACCTGGCCAATTTTCCTCTTATATAGCTTGAGTTATAGTTTAGGTATCCCAGGAATATGTGATCACATAGCTCCCTACTGCCCACCTAATTTCACAGTTACTGCTTACCTGCATTGAGCTTGCAACTGTTCTCCAATTTCTGGGCTTTCAGTAAGAGTTTCCTTTGTCCAAAATATCAAGCCTTTCCCTGTCTGCTCAGTAAACATGGACAGCCTTTTAAAATGTAAAAACAAATGGGCCCCCAAGCCAGGTGCCATTGTGCACACCTGTAGTCCAAGCCACTTGGGAGTCTGATGCAGGAGGATTCCTTGATGACAGACGTAACCAGCTAGGCAACATAGCAGAGACCCCATCTCCAAATAAAACAAACAAACAAACAAGGACCTGTTTTTGGGTTCCTTGTGCCGTGTTGCTCAAAAATCAAATTAGAAGAAAATTCTAGAGTTTTATTGGTCTGGCTAAGGTCAGTCACATCCCCATCTTCAGCTAAAAGGCAGGAGACTCATCTTCATAGGGAATTTTGTGAAAATAGCATGCAATAGGAAATAAATAGTTCCCAGAGGAAAACTAAAGAGCCATGGATGCTAGGCATGTGAAAATATCAGATATCCAGTAAACTGATTTTCAGTAAGTGACAGAGGATGAAGGCAAAGCCAACTGTTTTGGGCAATGTTGGTTGTCAGTGGTAGGTGAATATATGGAGATGGTGAAGTGAGCAGTAGAATATCATGGAACAGTAGTAAGTTGTTGGGAAACAGTTGCAATTTAGCGATTTGAAATAGTGGAAACTGATAATGGGAGAATGGATTAATTTTTTAACTATGTCATTGCTTGTTAGGGTCCAAGCACTGGAGATGATTATCAGCGAAACAGAGACAACCCTTGCCTTCATGAAGCTCACTTTGTTAATGATGGAACTGACCATGTGGCAGGCTTTGTGTTTTATAATTCATTGAGTTATCACAATCCTATGAGGTAGGTTCTGTTATTCTTCCTATTTGGTAGATGAGGAAACAGGCATAGATGAAATGGTTTTCCCAAGGTCACAGCATAGCAAGATTTTGAACTCAGGAATTGTTTCTGGAGTGTGTATTCTCTTTATCAGCTATAATATATATATATTTTAAAGGTGGGGTTTCACTGCGATGGTCAGGCTGGTTTTGAACTCCTGACCTCAGGTGATCCACCCATCTCAGCCTCCCAAAGTGCTAGGATTACAGGCATGAGCCACCAAGCCCAGCTTTTATCAGCTATATTAAGAAATAATTCACTCATGCTTGGGAGGTTCAGGTTTTAAAAAAAAAAAAGAAAAATAATTTGTATAACTCACAACTCATTCATTTAAAGTATACAATTCAATGGCTTTTAGTATACTCACAGAGTTGTGCAACCATTACAATTGATAGTGGGACTTTTTTGTTTCATTTGTTTTTTTGAGGCAGGGTCTGGCTCTGTCAGGCTGGAGTCCAGTGACGCAATCTTGTCTCACTGCCACCATCACCTTTTGGGCTCCAGCCATTCTCCCACCTCAGCCTCCTAAGTAGCTAGAACTACAGGTGAATGCCATCATGCCCGGCTAATTTTTGTATTTCTTTGTAGAGATGGGGTTTTGCCATGTTGCCCAGGCTGGTCTCAACTTCCCTGGGCTCAAGTGATCCACCCACCTTGGTCTCCCAAAGTGCTGGGATTACAGGCATGAGCAAACATGCCCAGCCTGATATTGGAACATTCATTATACATCACCTTAAAGTGAAACTTCACACTCCTAACCCAATTCCCTCCAACACCCTAAGCAACAAATAATCAGCTTTGTTGCCTCTATAGATTTTCCTATTCTGCATATTTCATATAAATGAAATTATATAATATGTGGTCCTTTGTAACTGGTTTCTTTCACTGAGCAAGTTTTCAAGGCTTATCCATGTTACAGCATGTATTAATCAGTGTTTCATTTCTATTGCTAAATAACATTCCATTGTATGGACATATCACATTTTATTTATCCATTCATCAGTTGGACATTTGGGTTATTTTTACTTTTTGTCTATTAGGAAAAATGCTGCTATGAACATTTATGTATAAATGTTTATGGGGACATGTTTTCAGTTCTCTAAGAATGGAACTGCTGGATTACATGGCAATTCTGTTTAATCATTTGAGAAACCACCAGACTGTTTTCCAAAGTGATGACACCATTTTTTCCATTCCCGCCAGCACTGTGTGAGAATGTCAGTTTCTCTACTTCCTTTTACCAAAATTGATCTATCTTTTTATTATATTCATCTTAGTGAGTATTAAATGGTATCTCATTGTGGTTTTCATTTGCATTTCCTAATGGCTAATGCTGTTGAGTATCTTTTCTTGTGTTTATTGGACATTGCATATCTTTGTAGAAATGTCTATTCACATTTCTTACCCATTTTTAAATTGGGCTCTTTGTCTCTCTTTATTATTGAATTCTAAGGTGTTTTTTGTTGTTTTTTTTAGACAGAGTCTTGCTCTATCGCCCAGGCTGGAGTGCAGTGGCATAATCTCGGCTGACTGCAACCTCTGCCTCCTGGGTTCAAGGGATTCCCCTGCCTCAGCCTCCCCAGTAGCTGGGATGACAGGTGCATGTCACCACGCCCAGCTAATTTTTTGTATTTTAGTAGAAATGGGGTTTCATTTCCACTAAAACGTGTTGCTCAGGCAGTCCGCCCGCCACAGCCTCCCAAAATGCT